TTATTTTAAGAAAAAACGACTTATCTAGATTTAGATTTTTTTCCAGTGTAATAACCATAAATATCTCTCCTAATTATTGACAGCCTAACTTTACAAACGGCGCCCCATAAATAAGCAGATCATGGCTTGTCTACAGTGAAAAGAAGGACTGGGTTATTTACTTTGGCCCCTGCCTGTCTTTCCCTTGGGCCCCAGATTTAATAAATCCGCCCCATTTTACACACACATATATAGATCTGTGTTATTAGACAGACTCAGCTGAAGTGGTGCTGTGAACCCTCTGCAGGTTGCTGTGACCGTGGGCCTGCAGTACGTGGACACGTCTCTGTCCACGCTGTCCAACCCAGAGGACATAGAGAGCGAGAGCGAGGGCTTCCTCCTGGAGAAGACGGTGAAGGAGACGTTCACCGACATCATGGCCAAGATGAAATCCATGGGCAAAGGGGCCAAGGTGGAGGAAGGGGGCGAGGAGGGCGTGGCTACCGTCAGCTGAGCAAGCCCCGCCCACCTGCGGAAAACTGTAAACCTTCCAACCCTGAAGCGAAGAGGAACGTTTTCTACCAGACTTTTCTAGCTTACAGCTCACCTGCAGACGAGGCCAAATACGTTGCCAATCCCGATAAACACGTCATTTCAAATCTGAAGAGTTTTTTATTGCTGCAGCACATTTTCACATTGGCAATTTTGCAAAATAAAGAAATTTATCTCATTTCAATACAGATGGAGAAAATTTAGGAATAATTGTTTGCATCCCTGCAGAGTCTGATGACACTGAACTCATGAGCTGCTGTTCATCCTTCATCCTGCTGATCTGTGTCAGACTTTAACTTCTATCCAGGAGGAGAAGGAGGCCCACAGCATGACAGATTCTCCACCATGCTTAACACAGGGAATCAGGTGGTGTTCAGTACATTTATTGTTAGAAATAGCTTTTTTGGTCACATCTGGCATCTAAAGTTGACGGCCATCTTGTAGGTTTTTTTTTCATGGCCTCAGTGAGCGTAGGATGTTTGAATTTATTCTGTAGATGTCGGTGAGTCGAGGTGAGTATTTTTCCTGACTTCTGAGGATCCACACACTTCCGGCACGTTCTCTTGTCTTTCCCATTTGAAGAGTGCCTAAGAGAAATGGGTCAATGTGTCGCAGGGAAGCAGAAGGTCACGCATCAAAAAAAAAAACTGATCCAATTATGTAAATACATGTTAGATGTTTAGATTTCACAAAACTTTCACATTTTGGGGAAAAACAATATTTCTTAAAGTAAAATTATTTTTTTTTTAACTAAATATGGTCATAAAAGTTGGATTTCCAAAAAAGTTTTACACAATAATTTATTAAAGGCCACAGCTCCAACTTTAAAAAAAAAAAAATTCTTTTTATTTAGCAGTGTCCTGTCTGGCGATGTGGCGATAAGAATAATTATCTTGATGCCAAAAAGAGCCCGACAGATTTTCCTTTCACCAGTGGAGCAGTACGGCTATCGCCATGGTGATCCGCTTCATTTATGCAAATAAAAAGCTTTATTTTAATTATGCAGGGAGTTTTACAGATTATATGGACACTGCAATGAAAGAAGAACAGGAAAGGAAAAGCAGAAATTTTATTTAACCTTTATTTTACCAGGAAGTCCCTTGAGATAAAATCTCTTTTTGGAGGGAGACCTGGCCGAGAGGCAGCAGCACAGTAAGAAAAAAAGGAGAAAAGATGAAAGAAAGAGATTAAAGGAAGATAACTATAAAACATCTTCAGTCTGTTTCATCACCTGCAGAGAGATGGAAAAAGAACAACACAATGATATAGTTTAAGAAATAAAAAAAAAGTAAAGCCTTGAAACTATCGCTGAAATATAAGTGGTATTATTACAACTTTATTTTCAAATTTATCAATTAATACAAAAATAGATTAATCTACAGAACATCCAAAGTGGTGCAGAATAAAAACATTAATTTTACAAAAGAAAAAAACAAAATAAAATATTGAAAAATGAAGTGAAAGTCAGATCAGATCCCAGCAGCTCTATAAAAGAAGCAAAGCCAACAGGTCACAGCTTTAAAGGAAAAGTCGCTCATATTCAGAATTCAAACTTCTGAAAGTTCTTTAAATCTGAAATGATTC